GTTCACCTCTCTCTCTCTCTCACACACACACACGCGTTAAAACCTCTATAACGCCACAGCATGACTTGCTAAAACACTAATTACTCTTTAACTGTCCGTCTGGCACGACTAACAAGTAATAACGATTGGTAAATGACGATTATGCAGATTTTGGAGTGCCTGCACTACTTATGTGTCTCATGTAGACAACTTTTATCCTGTTTTGGTGGAAGTAAAAACTCATTTTATGAGCAGCTAACGTGCTAATGCTAAAACGTTCACAGAACTCCGTAAACAGCGCAAACAGCAGCGAGTCTCTGAGGTTCACGTAAAGTTTTTGGTGGAAGTAAAAACTCATTTTATGAGCAGCTAACGTGCTAATGCTAAAACGTTCACAGAACTCCGTAAACAGCGCCAAGCGCAAACAGCAGCGAGTCTCTGAGGTTCACGTAAAGTCACAGAGTAACTACAGCGTATTTGAGTGGTCTGACTGGAGCTTTAGTGTGTTTTATTGACATCGCTGGCAGAAAGCTGTTAGCCGTTAGCCGCTAGCAGCGCGCGCTGCCCTCACCGTCTCCTCCGCGTCGATGTCGATTTTAAACGTCTGCTGCTGGAGGGTTTTCAGCGTGATCTGCATTTTCGCGTTCTTCCGTGTCGCCGCTGTGGAAACTGACCGAGGGCTGGATCGCTGGCTGTGTTTTTTTCGCCGTGGCTCATCACAGCCTGCCCGCCGCCATTACGCGCGTAAACACTCGACGACACGTCGCCCATGCGCCGCGCACCGACGCGTTTGCGTCACTGCAAGCGAGAGCGCTGATGGGAAATTGAGTTTTTGTTGCTTTTCCGTGACTACAGGAGAAAGTAGGAAGGTATGTACAGTGTTCGGAAGAAATCAAATCTTTGCATAGTTATGTGTGTCTGTCTGTCTGTGTGTGTGTGTGTGTGTGTGTGTCTGTGTGTCAGTCATCAGACGTTTCTTTGCTGTCTAAAGCCGAGCTCTTCTCGGGTCTCGTGGGTCTCCTCCTGCAGAAACACTCGTGTGAAGTTCTAATCCGCTGATCCCTCATGTCTCGCAGATATTTTTAAAAGATGATGTTATAGCTGTGAAATCAAGCACTTATAAAAGCAGCTCTGAAACAAACCAACTTCTGTTGGGTTTCAGATGTGACCTCTTTATTACAGCTCAAACAGACAGTAACAATATTTACTTGTGTGTGTGCGCGTATATATATATATACACACATACACTGTTAAATTATTAATAATCTTATTAATAATTAATAAGGTTATTAATAATTTAACAGTGTTGTTAGTATTAATAGTAGGCCCTGAGATATATATATATATATATATTTACATATCTATATCTCTATATATTCACCAATTGATGCACATGACTCAAAATCTCCTGAAAATTCAAAGGCATCGCCAAGACACACAAAAGCATTTCTTGATGTTTTCATACACTCATGAGGAGGATCTATTAAAAGCACCCTGAAGGTCAGAAGTGTTTCTGACGGCAGGATTTGATCAGAGCCGCTGCCTCGTGGATTTCATCATCAGCTTGTCATCCACTTCTGACTGATGGACTGCAGGCCGCTGCTTCGTCCTTCACGACCCTGAAGGCATCTCTAAAGAAGCGTTCGATCAGAACCGCATCAGGACACTGCACAAAGCAACAAAACAGCGGCCTGAGATTCCTGTGCTTTCTGCTGCTCTCCTCTGACCTCACACAGATGGCGAACTCTACAGATGCGAGACGCTGCTGTGGAAATGCATTGGCTCAAACTCTAGTATTTCCACACTATTTTCAGCTCATCACACTCTGTCCTTGAACACAAGCATTTATTTTCTCTCACAGAACAGCTCATGGCTTCACCGTCATGCGACGCATTACAATAACAGCCAGGAGATGTCCTCAGGGATTCGAGATAAACCTCTAAAGATGAATGACAAATGTAGAACTCAATGAAAATACTGCTTAAATCTTTGCGTTTTGAGTGCATTTGTTAAAACACATTCAAGTTAGAGTTATATCATGAATATGCGCTTAAAGTGCACTCTGAGCTTTAATTTGAGGGATTCTCATCATAAATGGAATTACAGCTCTTTAATATGTACCTCCACACTTTTTCAAGGGACCATAAGTAATTGAACAGTTGACTCAAAAGCGGTTTCGTGGACAGATGTGGGCTATTCTTTCATTATTTCTACATCAATTAAGCAGGTGAAAGATCTGGAGTTGCTTCTAAGTGTGTCATCTGCATTTGGAAGCTGTTGCTGTGAAACACATCATGCGGTCAAAGATCTCTCCATGCAAGTGAAACAGATGATTGCGAGGCTTCAGGAAAAAAATAGAGATCGCAGGAACATCAGGAGCGGCCAAATCAACAGTTTGGTACATTCTGAGAAAAACAGACCGCACTGGTGAGCTCAGAAACATGAAAAGACCTGGACGTCCACGGAGGACAACAGTGCTGATGATCGGAGAAAGGTAAAGAAAAACCCTTTCACAACATCCAGCCCAGAGAAGAACACTCTCCAGGAGGCAGACGGGTCTACAATCAAGAGAAGACTTCACCTCAGCAAACACAGAGGATTCAGCACAAGAACACATCTAAAAAAGCCGGAGCACTTCTGGAAAAGCATTGTTTGGACGGCTGAAGTTAAGATCAAGCTGTACCAGAACGACGCGAAGAAAATAGTCTGGAGCAGCTCACATCATCTGTGAAGCATGGAGCAGTGTGATGCATGAGCTGCATGGCTTCAGTGGCTCTGGGTTACTAGTGTTTAGTGACGATGAGACAGAAGACAGAAGCAGCCGGATGAACTCTGAAGAGTGTAGAGATATACTCTCTGCCCAGATTCAGCCAAACGCAGCAAAGCTGATTGAGAGACGCTTCATAGTATGAATGGACGATGAGCCAAAACATACAGCGTAAGCAACCCAGGAGATTTTGAAGGTTAAAAAGTGGATTATTCTGCGATGGACGAGTCAATCTCCTGATCTCAACCCGATCGAGCAGCATTTCACTCGCTGAAGACAAACACACAACTCACACACACTCACTCACACTCTCACACACTCACTCACACTCTCACACACACACTCAGTCTCACTCACACACTCACTCACACTCTCACTCACACTCACACTCTCACACAGTCTCACTCACACTCTCACTCTCACTCACACTCACACTCAGTCTCACTCACACACTCACTCACACACTCA